TATATATATATATATATATATATATATATGTATATATATATACATATATGGAGAAGAGATAATTTGCAGAAGTCGCTAACTGCGATAATAGCGAGAAAAATAGCTGATCATAGTGATTACTGGCAAAAAAGATATATCTCTAGTAGCATTGTTCAGAAAAATGGATCCCATGCGGACTTACTGGGATTGTTTCGAATGTAGTCTGATTCTCCAGTTATGCAGTTGGCAAATTTTTCGTTTACTTTGACCAGTGGTAGATCGCGTTTCTGTCAGTCTTCTGACAATCCTAACATTCATTTTGTCTTGTAAAAGGATTATTAACGTTTTGCCGATGGAGATAGTTGGTACGGCTTTGACCATCTTGGGGTTCTGTCGATGTATGTTGAGCATAACCGCTTTGTTTGAAGCATTGTTATGATGATGAGGCACTTATGTATCGTACCGACTTGATCGTCAAATTTTTTGGACTTGAAATTTTTTATTCTAATAAGTCAATTTCAGGAATGACAATTGCAACAATCAGAGGTTTTTGTGGCAAAGAGGAAATTGAGAAGACATTTTTGAGCGAAAGAGTAAGTTGTCCTTGATAGATTGCCATTTTGATTTTTGTATTGATTTTTGGGATGCGTTCATTCAGACTAGATTGTATTGATAGGCACTGCAGCAAGTGGCAAAAACGCATATTGTGACGGCCGTGTCTGTGTGTGCAATTACAGATAATTGCTAAAATTCAATTCGACTCGGCCGGTCCCATACACGATTTGCGAAAAATTTTTTCTACCAATGACGGGTTTCTTTACCCCACCGTGGAATCGGGCACTGGATGTCGCAGGAGGGGTGGGTGTGAAGGAAGCGGTGTGTGCGGGTTCCGGGAGCAGGGATTTGAGGCAGGGGTAGGGGTTGGGTGGATGGATTGACTCTTTACTTTTGTCTCCAGTTCCTGACTTGTATCCTCGTTCTCCTTCTCTGCCCTATCCCCAAATAGCACTGGCAAGCCTAATGCGTTCCAGCCTAGGTTCCAAAGCCATTTAATATTTGTACGATTTTAAAGAAGCGAATTCGACATGTTTTTTTGTTTACTTTGTTACATGTGGCTGAAAATGTATTGTTTTTTCAACGTTTCGTTTTTTCAGATGGATGTACCAATGGCACCAGGTTTGGGTTTGGTACTTGATAAAGTGCATTATGAAAGATATGATAAATGGTACGAAAAGACACACGAAAAATTGAACAATTGGGGTGAAGAAATTGAGGCGAAAGCAGATGAATTTCGGCAACAATATATTTTGGATGAAATTTATAGGCAGGAATTCGCTACCCAATCGTTAGTATCTTTTTTTTTAGAAATGTTTCTCAATAAAATGATTTCATGAATATCAGCAAAAAGCGACAAAAATTGGGAAATGGAGAATGCGTGAGTTGCCAGACATATAACTCAGGGCGAACAGCTTACGCGTCACGATTCGAAAGATCCGAAAACAATGAAAATGAGGAGTTTGATCCAACCTCTGTCCAAATCTTTTTGCGAGAGGGGCTTCATTCGCGATAAATGGCTACTGAAGTTGGTATTAGTAATAAATTTGACGAAACTTTGATTGATGAAACTTGAAACTCATTGGTGAAACTTGATGAACTTGATGACTTGATGAATTTGATGACTTGAAACTTAATGGAACAAAAGTCACTGATGGAGCTTATCGTCCATTTGTAGCTTTTTAATTCATTTTGTGAAAAACTGGTGCTGGCACATTCCAGGAAGTAGTAGAATAGAAGGATTGGTCTTAAGTGTCATGTGTCAGCGGACATTTTACGATGCAGTCTGTTTTCGGCGTGCTTCGTTGATGTCAAAAACTGCCTTCCGCTTGCTTCTTTGATGAATTCGATAAATCGACGGTGAATAAGTGATTACTAAGGGCGAAGTTTCGCTGTTTGGGCTACTTTCTTGTGTCGCTTTAGCCCTCACAAACAGAGGAATATGAAGCCACTGATCGTAGGCATAACATTAATATCAGTTAAGTAGGTCTACTATCATCAGCTTGCTAAGCAACCTTCGAGAGAGGGAGCCATCGATAGCCTCGCCAACAGGTATTTGCTATTGGCATGTGTTATTCTACTCAAAATGCATCCTTTTGGCTTCATTTCTCGTGCAGAATGAATATAGAGGGGGAAATTTATTCGTTTCCCACAGCATTTATGACTGCCTGTGCATTGCCGATGAAATCTGTACAGTTTTGGTAGCTTTCAGCATGTTTCAATGGTTGTCAAACCTAATAAAGCATGATATTACAATTCCTGGTATTACAAGGGAATCAAAAGAAAGATCGCCGTTACCTATGGCTAATTATCTTGCATATGTAAGCCTACCGGTCTTTTTTTTTCTCACTTATAACTTTTGTTGCTGATAAACGCAAGATTTTTATGAGTCGCAGTTCATGGGTTTTAAGTGTCTTACTCTGATCTTCCTAAAATAAGTAGTTCTACGATCCAGCGCTACGTTTTTTTGGAAAATTGATATTAGCGCGTGCCAAAAAGTCGGGATTATCTTCGATTGGTCTCCAAGCCACTTCTGGAAGAGGAATTTTCCAGCAGATTTATGAAAGTTGATTTTATTAGCAAAGTAATACCACTGAAAATCGTTTCGGCTTGTTTCCATCTTTCAAACAGAAAGGAATTAGTGCGTGAGGTAACAGAACTAAGATGGAATTGAGCTTGTGTTGAAGCGTTTTTTCGTACATGAAGTGGCCTTCCGCTGAAGCGCTTGTTCACAGAAACAGACCATCTCCATATGGGAGGTGCAACTGTAATTTGAATATTTTATATAGTTATGAAAAACGTTGTAACTAAAAGGAAAAGTAATAATTAAAGTTAAAAGTACAAACTAAATTGGAATGTTTCGGTCCATTAAGTCGTATACATTTTCATTCAGTGCTGCAACTGCATCTTGTTAGTATGATGAGTGCAGTGGAAAAGGAAAAGGTATTA